ATGTCGCTACATGTCGACGACGCATTCGTGATTGAACGGATAATGGATTCCAAACAACCATTAATTGCGAATGTGTTCCCCGTAGCTTCTAACTCACACGCATACCAACGCTAACCGCTGGAGGTTGCCGTTGGTCTTCACAACTAACAACTTGAAATTGATAAAAGACTTGACCAACAAAGTAGAAATGAAACAGATCTTGGTAGCTCAATTGGTAGAGCGTTGCACTGGATATGCGAGGGTCTTGGGTTCAAATCCTAGTCAAGGCAAAGAAAATTTTTCTTCAATTTTAATTGGAACGTCTGCATGCCACTAAAATTGAACACACTTTAAATTATATAACAGACGATAAAACTTCTAAAAAACCCGTATCTTGAATGTTCATAAAGTCTGTCGATTTTAATCTGATACTCCAAAGGAATGTGAGCTGGTGGCTCCCTAGTTAGAACTCCAATGGTCACCTGAGGTTACATCTGTTTTTGCCATATCCTCCACCCCCTCGCTCCTCATACAGAAAGTGCCAGATTAAAAACGACGGACAATACCTTGCAGAGCAGGAGACTTATTTTTATTTATTTTTATTTTTATTTATTCAATTAAAGTCTTATAAAACACCTGAACAGTAATTATATCATAAGACTACTAGTAGCCAAAAAGTATTACCTTACCTACAAGCAATGCAACTGCCTAGAAAATAAAAAATAAAAATGTAAGTATCACAATGGAATTGAACTTAAATTAAGAACAGCTAAGTAAAAACAATAAAATAGAAACACAAGACAATCAAAAAGTTGCTACACTTCTACAATATCAACAAAGTTAAAAGTTAAAAGTTGTATGTCTAAAAAAATGAAAAAAATACAACAAATCAAGCGGCAAACCATTATCAAGTCTAAACTAATCCTTTTAATTCACTAACGGTAGTGTTAAAAATGTCAACTTCATTATTCTCGATTATTATGGCATTACAGTGCTCCAACATTTGGTTTAGAGGGCTATCTAGTGAAGACCTTATACTAAATAATTTACTACAATTAGATCTAAGATTTACCTTAGGAACGTGAAAATTAACATCATTAATCATTGCACAATTTTGATACTAACATACTCTGATAGGAAATAAGATAAGGATAGGAATTGTTATCCTTTAGGTACAAAAATCGAAGAAATTTCTTTTGAATGCGCTCAATTCGTTCACTGTGGCACTGGGCCCTAGGTGACCACACTATTGACGCATATTCCAGATGGGGTCTAACTTCTCTATGGGTCTAACCAGTGCGTTATAGAGTTTTATAACTGTACCCAGATGTTCAAAGCTCTTGGAGTTTCGAATAATAAACCCCAATTTTTTATAAGCCTTGTTCACTACAAAATCATAATGTGAGGTAAATTTCAAACTGCTCTGCATGTACACACCCAGATCCTTAATTTCTTGCTTTCTCTGTAAAATTGAATTTTTTATTTACGACTAATGTATAATGTGCGTATTATATTTGTGATTTTGGCAGTATAATGACATATGTTATTCCTCCAGGGATTAATGACGAGTAGCGGGATTAATGGTCATTATTCCACAAAAGTGTCAGTGTCAAACGTGTAGTGCTTGTGGATTTGTATTGAAAATTATGAGACGGATGAAATTTGTTCATTGAAAATCTCAAATAAATTAATTTGTCGTAAATAAAGTAGAGTATACTACTCGCAATAATGGCTATTATTCCCTCGGAATGTTACTCCCTCGCCGCTAACGCGGCTCAGTTCGTAATAATCCTCGGGAATAATAGCTATCATTATTGACTCGTGGTATAATCTACTATTATAGAATAGTCAAAGTTAATTGGGTTTAACTTTCTGGTGTATGTCACTGTGACACACACACCCGTCCTAAAGATAGGAAACTTCCATGTAAAATGTTCGTTCGGAGCTGTCTAAAAAATTACACTTATGATAGTTTCATGACTGCCAAAGCTATGCGGCGCTAGTATAGCAAAGCCACAAGCAAATGTCATCTGTGAACTGTGAATGGTGAAGATGGTGAATAAAATTTGTCAATGTGTTTGCCATCAGTTTAGCCCGTTTAGCGGTTTGATCTGTGTTAGTGTTCTTTTATTTAATTTCCTATCAATTTATGATAAAACTTTGACTTGTTAATATGTTTTTAAAAAAAGAGACTTTATGTTACATTCAAACATAGTGGAAATGCTCGTGGAAATGGGATTAGTGATGGTTTTTATTCGCCATTGTTTGACATTCACATGAAGTGTGATTTGTGCACCAAATAAGACCAAAATTCCTAAAAATATATCTTCATTTATAGCATAGGCATTACTGCAGTGGAAGCTTCTGAATTCATGCCATCACCACTTTATCCTCACTCAGAGACTTTGTTGAGTGTGGAATTAGTGAATTTTATTTGCAGTATTATAAACTTTTTATTGTTTTTTTTTTTCAATCTGTTTTTCTATTATTTGTCTTAAAAGGCTGTTCCAATAAAGAAGGAGATGGTACCTACTAAAATATTGTTGTTTTATTTCAAAAAAAAATTACAGATAATAATAAAATTAAAATCGATTAAGGGACACATTATTTGAAAAAAGGCGGGAGACCACGTGACTACTGCTACAACACTGAACACACTGAAGTGCACACTAGCGCCTCCATGCTGTGGCAGAAATACAACTCGTTGTATGAGTAAGACAAGGATAGGGGAAAAGGCACGAGTTTCCTATCTTTAGGACGGGTTAATCTGTGGTGACACATTTATCAGTGTTGAGGCGCATTTTGTTTTGTAAGAACCAGTCTGCAACAGAGTTCAAATCCTCCTGAAGCAGAAAAGCATCCGAATATGACGCAATCACCTTGAATATCTTAAAATCATCTGCGAATATAAGACAAGATGAGTGTTTCACACAGTCAACAAGTGTGTTAATAAAAACAATAAACAACAAGGGTCCAACATGGCTCCCCTGCGGGACTCCTGAGGTTGCAACATAAGATTGTGAGTATGAATTCCCAACCTTTACTCTTTGCAACCTATCTGACAGATAGGACCCAAAAAACAAACAGGTTTGTTTGGAGAATCCCAGTTCAGCTAGTCTCCTGATTAGGATAGCATGATCCACCATATCAAACGCTTTTGCACAGTCTGTATATATTGTGTCGAGCTGGGCTTGATTGCCTATAGCCTCAAATGCTTGAGTATTGAATTTTAATAGGTTTGATACAGTGGATTTTCCACAAACGAAACCATGCTGCTCATCTGCAATTTTGTTCTTTATATTTCTCAACAGATCTTCATAAAGTATAGACTCAAAGATCTTAGCCAGAGAATTCAATATGCTTATCGGCCTATAATTTTTGATGTCCCCCTCACAGTTGCTCTTAAAAATAGGAACAATTACTGCTGCATTAAGCTTCTCGGGAAAAATTTGACTCTGTATTGACAAATTGAAGATGTAAGAAATGGGCTTTGCTAGAAAATCTACACACCCTTTGTATATGTAAGGTGGAATGTTATCAATGCCTGTAGATTTCTTAGGCTTCAACTTTTTTATTCCCTTCCTTACCATGTCCTCACTAATCTCGTTCAAGTTTATGTTACCATAGTGGCAGTCATATTCACTAGATTGATCTAGAGATGAAGGGCTGAAAACCGAATGGAAAAAAGTAGCAAATCCATTCGCAATGCTGTTTGCGTCACAGTATTCTGCACCATTAAGCTGCATAGTCTTTGGTATGCCCGAAGAGTTCTTGGGACCTAAAAAAACTCCAAAAGCTTTGAGGATCCGTGTGCACGTTTTGCTCAATGTGTTCCTTATATTTTTTATATTCAAATTTAGTTTGAAATTTGATTCTAAGATTTTTATAATCATCAATCTGGTCAACTCGTGCCTTAGATCTACTTACCAGAGCATGACAGCGTTTTTTTCTATATATTTTACTTATCAAATCTCTAGAAAACCAAGTCGGAAATGCACGTTTCCTTGTTGACACTTTATTAGCCTTCTTGGGAACACATTGATCAATGCACGAATACATTTTTTCATAGAAAAAGTCCAAACAGCAATCAACATCTCTTTGGCTTTCCAAAAAACACCAATCTATATCCCTGATTAAACAATAAAGAAGTTTGAAATCTGCGTTTGCATAATCATAGACAAAACCACCCTGAAATTTATCATTACTAACATTAGGTGAGTGTAAGAATTCAATTATCAATGACGGATGTAACTCGTCCTCAGGAACAAGTGGACTTTGATCTCTCTTAACACTAACGTCAAGGTCAGACAACACTAGATCCAGTTTTCTAGACATAAAGTTTAAAATGTCATTACATTGTTTTAGACTATTTAATGCACAGAAATCTTTCAATGCCTTACTCTTGTCCAAACCATTGGTTTCGAAATTGGGCAGATTGAAGTCACCCACGATCAACATTTTATTATTTTTATGATTAAACGATTCCAATAAATCAAAATATTCAATATAGTCTGTGATTCGACTATTTGGAGGAAAATAAACAATTGAGAATAGTATTGCCTCACAATTTGACTTAATTCTAACAAATAAACATTCCAACCTAGAATCAATCTGAATACTCACAAATTTTAAGTCTTTTTTTATGCCCACAAAGGCTCCACCACATCATGCGGGTCTTTCTTTCCTCTACCAACTTCTTCCTAGATCTTGTGGGTCTCGTTTTTTTTAGAGCACGAGAAAAGAGGGTGAGATGTTCCGACCTATTTTATAAGCCAAACTGATTATGGTATGAATCAGTCGATCTCAAGGATGTTCCAGTTTGCCAACTCAAAGAGCCGTATTGACATATTTGGAGATTCCTACCGTTGCTTGCTGGATAGTTCTTAAAATAAGTTGTATCTGTTTTTTGGAATTCACATCAATTGAATACAAAACACCCATTGTATTCTTATCCAGAACACCGTTCATATCGATAGATATATCAGATAGATCATGATGATAATTATTATTTTCTTTTTCAGGGAATGCGTCAACTTCGAATGCACATGCTAGCTGCTAGAGGGTACTGTGTGGTGGCTATAGACTCCCGCGGATCTCAACATAGAGGTATTAAGTTTGAAGGTTACATCAAAGGAAAAATGGGCACCGTAGAACTGAAGGATCAAGTGGAGGTGCTGAAATGGCTGGCCAGGACGCTGGGCTATATCGATTTGTCGAGAGTGGCGATACATGGTTGGTCATATGGTAAGAACTTGCATTAGAGCTAAAAAAAATAGAGGTTTTTGAACTTTTTGGAAAAAAAAAATAAACATTTACAGGGTGTTTTCGGAGACAATACCCAAACTATTAATCCTCTGTACTAGAAACTTAACATATTAAAACAATGCTTCTTAGTAATGTCCATGAAAGAGATAATGTTTGTTTGTTTGTTTGTTTGTTTTGCTTTTATTTCATCTGTATACAAAAAAAAAAACATACATTTTTTACCCTTACAGGCGTAGATCACGTCAAAATAAAAATACTACATGTAACTATAACTAAAATCTTATAAATTCTAATACTATAAATTGGACAGAACCTTCACTTACATATTATTTGGATAAAATGTAACCATTTATTGTTTTGGTATACCTACATACATTCACAAATACGAAATAATCAGTGGCGGATCGTGGTGTCCAAGTAAGGGTGGGCGACAAAAATAAAAAACAGCCATGGGCAATTTTTTTTAGATTTTCAAGGTCGCGGCCTTTTCAAATATAGTATTAAAGCAAAGATAATCCTACTCCGAAGTAGGATTATCTTTGATTGAAGGTATTTTTTATTTTTCCATTTTCTCTCCAGGGTGGCGGTGCCCACCTTGCCCATATGGGCCAACCGCCACTGGAAATAATACGATGATTAATGAGCTTAACATAAAAGAGTAAATCACAGAAATTAAAAAATACAATATAAAAGACAAACGTGATGTGGACAAACTAAGAGAATAAAATAACTTTTGGGTAAGGCTTTGGTCAGGTACTTTTGTATATCTATATTTTGATCTTTTTTTTAAAAGTTCTACTTTATCTGGGTCACTGAAAAACTCTTCAACATTGTAGTATGATCTTTTTTCCAGAAGTTGCTTTAGTTTGTAATCAATTTGTTTAATTGGCAGTTGTCTGAATGTGATGGGTAGTGAGTTCCATATTTTTACAATGTTAAATGTTACGTTTTTCTGCAGATAGCTAAACTGCGGGATATCTGTTTTAAGGTTTTGTTTTTTTCTTGTGTCATATTTATGTTCAACTTCTTGATTTTCAAAAAGATCTGGGTTTTTTAAAATAAACTTGATGCTTTCATAAATACTGGGTGTTCCACGGTGGATGGCGTATTAGACGTTTATGGAGAACTAAAAAGCGGATCATTTTGAAAATTTGGCAACCGGGATAAACGACCATGATCTACACTTTAAAAATATTTTTGACCATGCGGTGTTGCCGCTTCTACTCTAAACTAGTGGCAACATCACTATTTTAAATGGAACACCCCGTATTAAATTGCATATTTGGATTCTACGTAAAATTCTGAGCAGATTTCATGTGATATACCCATAGACAATAAAAAATAAAAAGACCTTCAAAAGTATAGCCGAAATAGGTTATACTATTACTGCGCATCCGGTTGCGCATAGCGCATTGCGGAATTTTTGGAAAGCTAGAGACTTATGAAAGATCAGTCCGATCATTCGATTCTGTTTCATCTTTCTCTGTCATACCAATTCACAAGACAAGGACACCGTATGAGTTACAGAGCTTTCCTAGCTGTTTTGTAGAAACCTATCAAACATCCATAACTATAGAAACTGTGACCGAGAAAACAAATAAGTAACCTTAAAATAACGACATTTCCGTGTTGAAATTTGTCATTTTTAACCGATTGGGCGGTCGTCTAAGAAGACTCGAACTCACAAAATCTAAAGAACAAGAAGAAGAAATTGTCATTTTTATTAAGGCACTCGGTATCGCGTACCTATAATATTATGTACAACTAGGATAAACTGAACCAGTAAGTATACATGTTAGTTTTGTGATATACGGCATATTTTTTTACTGTTTTAGGAGACCTCAGTCAGAAGAGATAAAATGTAGATGTTAGGCCTTGGCCAGCTTAGCTTGTACATACATTAAAGCATGTATAAGGGATGTAATAACTGTGTTTGTAAACTCTTTAGGTATTTGACCTATCTAGCTATAATATATATTTTTTCTAGTACAATTTAGTGTTTACTTTGCCTTTTTTTTTAATCTACATCAAAAAATGGCACAAAACTTTATGGAGTACCACATCATTTTTCTCATTCGGATTTGAGAAAAAAAGATGTGGAACAACATAAGTAACTTTTTTGTGCAATCAATTCAAGTCAAATTTCAAAATTCCCGCCATTTCAGTATTTGTTCCGGCTGCCACTATTGACGCCACCGTCGCTGTGACGTCAGCGCTATACAAACTTTCATGTTATCAATCAGGTACTCTTACCTTGGTTTATTATATTTCTCTATGGATATACCCTATACCTAAGTTCAACTGTTTTGGAAATATTGACAGTTGAAAATTGACTTTTTGCAACTTTGACAGGCTGTAGAACCTGAACGGTTAATTTTAGAGGAAAACCGATTTTACATTCCTATCTTAGATTTTTATAAACTATCATTTGACACCATCTTTGAATTAAATCCATGATTAAAAATTTCAGTTAAATTTAATCTCCGGTTAAGTTCAAAGTTGGTGTCAAATGATAGTTTATCAAAATCTAAGATAGGAATGTGAAATCGGTTTTCCTCTAAAATTAACCAATTAGGTTTTACAGCCTGTCAAAGTTGCAAAAAGTCGATTTTCAACTGTCAATATTTCCAAAACAGTTGAACTTAGGTATAGGCTATATCACATGAAATCTGCTCAGAATTTTACGTAGAATCCAATTATGCAATTTAATACGGGGTGTTTCATTTAAAATAGTGTTGTTGCCACTAGTTTAGAGTAGAAGCGGCAACACCGCATGGTCAAAAATATTTTTAAAGTGTAGATCATGGTCGTTTATCCCGGTTGCCAAATTTTCAAAATGATCCGCTTTTTAGTTCTCCATAAACGTCTAATACGCCATCCACCGTGGGACACCCTGTATAAATGTTGTATACCGTGTGAATTTTATACTGACTAAAATGTGTTTTGCAACTTTCTAGGCGGTTTAAATTTAGAATTAATTGTTCTTAAGCAACGTTTTTGCAAAACAAGAATTCTATTAGCGTAAGCTGCATTTTCCCCAGAATATGACACCATATCTAACACAAGACTGTACATAAGCGTGATAAGAAGTCAAAGATGCAGAGAGACCCACTAATTCTCTAATAATTCTGAGAGCGTAACAGAATTGGCTCAGTTTTGCTGCAATATTATTAATGTGAGCTTTCCAGCTCAGCATATTGTCTAGAGCGACTCCCAGAAAAGCCACAGCGTCCTGAGCCTCCTCCTCCATACTCCATACACAGTTTTTCTGATGATTTTGGTTTGAAATGAATAAGTTGTGTCTTATTTATGTTTAGTGTTAGACTATTTGAATCAAACCATTTTTCTAATTTTTTGAGATCATTATGGATATTCACTTTTGTCACTTGTATGTCTTGTTCATCATATATTACAGTTTTATCGTCAGCGAATAACACTATTTTGTCATTTTGAATAATGTTTGTTATATCATTAGTGTATAGAATATAGAGAAGAGGAGACAAGACCGCGCCCTGAGGAACGCCTCCGTCTACGCGTCCAAATTCTGATCTTATCCTTTCCCCATCTCTGCTCACTTCTTCTATGCACTGCCACCTGTCCTCTTGAAAGGATCCAATCAGCTGCAGTGCCACGCTTCGTATGCCACATGCATCCAGCTTCTTTAATAAAGTTTCATGGTTGACACTATCAAAGGCTTTAGTCCAATCCAGACATAGAGCTGCTGCTGTTTGTTTCCTATTGAGCGTATTAATTATTTTATTAATTGTTTGATATATCGCTCTAATTGTTGATTTGCCCTTCCGAAAACCATTCTGCTGGTCTGAGAGTACGCTTTGATTTTCTAAGAAGTCTGTAATTTGTTGGTGCATTAGTTTTTCGAAGATTTTGCTTATATTGCTTAATAGTGATATGGGGCGATAGTTTTTAATGTCATTTTTGGCTCCTTTATTTTTATATAAGGGCTTAAAAATGGAAAACTTAAGGGCAGATGGAAATTTTCCTGTTTTGAAGCAGAGATTTATTATATGAGCGAGAGCGAGATGATATGCGGAGCATGTTTTAGCAATTTCACAGGGACCTCATCAATGCCAACCGATTTTTTATTTTTTAGGCCATTTATAATATTTTCTACCTCTTCAGGATTCGTTAATGTAAACTTAAAGCTATTTTTTATGTATGTTAAACTCTCGGTTAAACAATCATTGGAACCTTGTGTCTTTTGAGCCTTATTTGGACAAGAATTTAAAAAGAAGTTATTAACCTGATTAAGAAAGTTTGGAGATTCCTTTTCCTGGAAGTGAATAAAAATTGATTGTTTTTTATTTTGAGCTTTTGTGATTTTATTTATAAGATTCCATGTAGTTTTGGTTTTATTTTCAGAGTTTTCAATTTGAGTTTTGTTTGATAGTTTTTTTGCGTTTTTTATTACTCTTTTTAGTATTTTTGTGTATATTTTGTATTTTGTTTTACTCACGAATCCTGAGAGATAGAGGTCAAACATTGTTCTTTTATTTTTGATGGACGTTTTTATTCCTGTGGTTAGCCAATGAGAAATGCCGTTTGCTTTTATTTTTTTCCTCTTTTTGGGAAAGATCAGATTCAGATAGTAGGTTGTTGTTGTAATAAATGAGTTGTATGCCCCATCTACATGTCCACTCCCCAACACTGTCGCCCATGTACAGTCCTGAATTGCCTCTTGAAAATGACACAGCCGCCTACCTCTGAAAATATTCTACCCGTGAAGTAAGAATCTTTTAAATTGTCACGACTGCAAACATTTATTGATATTGTCTGGGCATGATGATGACTTATTCCGATTTTAATTATATTATCATTGAAAAATGTTTTTGAGTTTACAAAGATGTTGTCAATGCAGGATTTTTCATTTTTATTTTTGTTGTGTTTCAAATGTTTTTGAAGGGTTACCTACTGTGTTAGGATGAAGAAAGACCAATGTCAAAATTTTTTTTAGGTGGTTACTTGAGTCTGATGGGTCTCATCCATTACCCCGACATTTTCAAAATAGCAATAGCCGGTGCTCCCGTTACAAATTGGAATTTCTATGACACTGGTTACACGGAAAGATATATGGACTTACCAATGCATAATCACGATGGATACCAGGACGGATCAGTGTTAAAATATGTGCACAAATTTCCTGATGAGTAAGTTTGTGTTGATGCCATGATGTTTTTAATTTTTAATATTGATAATGTTATAGAGAAAATAGACTCCTAATTATCCATGGGTTGATTGACGAAAATGTGCACTTTTACCACACATCTCAGCTGATTAATCACTTGGTTAAAGCTGGCAAACCTTACCAGCTGCAGATTTATCCTAATGAAAGACATTCTTTGCGCCATCTAGACTCGAGTAAACATTACGAGACCACTTTTTTGTCGTTTTTGCAGAACCATTTGTAGATAGGGTCTTGGTGTTTTTTATTCTTTAAGCTACGTTTGATATGTTGGTAGGTGATATGGTACATAGAATCGATGATAATGATTCTCAGATTTGAAAAACTATCCTTCTAAGCAAGATTTTGTCAAAATTAATTGCTAAAACATAATATGCTTTCTAATAACAACTGCTTTATTTTTTTTTAGGTATGTGTAATTTCAACACTACCTAATGATTTAATTATGAAAAATAATTACGTACATGCAAAACTCAAATCTATGTTCCCTAAAAATACTTGAGAAATCATTTTATAGCTAGTTATTATACTACAGATATATTAACATCTGGTTCTGCAAATTATTATTTTTAGAATTTTCAGAGAGATTTACACAGAATATATTTATTTTATCCTTTATTATTGTGCAAACGTGTTCCCCAATTTTAATCTAAGCTTTTATACTAAAATTATAAATAGGAACAATACAATTGGCTTGTTGTAAAGTTGATAAATTTTAGGATTGTATTATAAATTATTTACAGAAAATTTGTAATAAAGATAATTGTTTTTATTAAGATAATTGTTTAGTAGTTATAATGCAACTAGTGTATAAAACGAAATAGTTTTTTATTGATGTGAGAATCCTGTTCGTGTCTTTTTATTCATAAATCTATACAGGAAATGTATTCTTTTCTGAAGTTGATAATATTTGGTGGGTCTAGCCAATGGATATGCGGTTCTGCCAAGCATCTTTCTTTTACGCAACATTACTTGGTATTCATTTCCTCCTACGCCTCTCAGCCACTCAGGTATATTATAGAGAATTCTTGTTGGATGGATCCTTTCATTTCCTAAATCAAAAAATTTACCAAAACGATGTTAAACTGAAAAAAAAATACCCACCTAAGATGTCTATGTAATCATTCTGACCGAACAATGCCCTTTTCTCGTTCCAACAGTTCTTTGGCCTATAAATAGGCATTGGTAATTTTGCAGCATCCTTGTCTCTAGGCAAGAGCCCCCTTCGATGAACATGATCTTTGTATCCATATCTTTTGATTATGGGTCCGTTGGCTATTTTCTCTGCATGATATCGGAATCTAACTGGAGTTATTTGCGGTACCCAAGCTTGGACAGTTTTTAGGGCACAGTTTGCTAAATTAACTACTAGGGACATATCGTTTGAATATTCTAAAATTTCAACAAAATTTGTGTTTTCAACCTTCTCTACAACCAACCCAAACTTTGTTGGTTATGTCCACGTTCATTGCTATCATTCTTTTTTTATATTTGTTTGATGGGCATTGGCCATAGGGCATTGAGGTCATTGGCATTGAGCACTGATGAAAATCTCTTTAGTTTACCATTCAATTCAAGGTGACTCTCCAAGATGTATTTATTTTTCTTTGGACTTTGATCAAAGAAGTCGGCATTGCGACTAAATCCCCTAGTCATTTAATTTTGCCCACTCTCGAGTAAAGTCAGAAGTACTCCAGTTCTGTTCCGGTGCGAAAAGATTTTGAACCAGTATTGGGAGTGCTCCACTCTCAACAGTCTCAACTGGGGCGAGTTCAGGAATGACACACCCAGTGTGAGTGTGACACCGGTGCGACGCACTAGCCGTTCATAAATGCTATAGGCACACCGAGTGTGCCGTTCAGAAATTACTTTGGGCGCGCTCCAGGTGTCGCACCGGTCACACCATAATTTTTTGGTGTGGCTGCGGTGTGATTGTGTCTTTATGTCAACCATTCCTCCCATAATCTCAATAATCCCACCAAATATAAACAAAACACAAATAAGAATTAAAGTTTTTCCTTCAAATTAAAAAAATGAACAACAAAAAAAAGTATTCCTAATAGATTTGGTGAAATTTTTGAGGAGATGCTCGATTGGTCACACCAAGCGTTCAGAAATTCATACGAAAGTTGTCGCCAAAGAATTGTCATTTTAGTCACACCCATAAAATCGCACTCACACCCGGTGTGTTATTTCTGAACTCGCCCCTGCTCCATGATCGGTCACCTACCGTTGTGTCAAAACTGTCCAATCCCAATCAATTTGTATGTCATAAGTGTCAAGGTCAGCTGTATAAAAAATCTCTCCATATTTTATTATTAAAATTATTAAACAATTTATTTAGTTTACAAAAAAACATTTGTGAGAACGAATCATCGCATTTCTTGATGATATTTTGGAAGAATTAATATGCCTCTAGCAAATTCCGGTGAACCATGGCAAATTCAACGCTCGGACACAGAGGTTAGTCGAAAATAGTTTTGTATTTTCATGTTTTTTATTAATAATCTTTAAGTTTTTTTTCCTGTGGCCTCAGGCATATCCATTTTTTATTTACAATTTTATTATCTTTTTACAGCTAATGTGAAGTCTCAATTCTTGCAAATTGAGCCTGTACGTAACTATCGAGTGATTTTTTTTAGCAGGTTGTTTTGTGCATGTTTTTGAAGCTAATTATGTCTTCAGTAGTTTTAAGAAGTTTCTCTAACATCTTACGCTCGATACTACATTATTTTACTTAATTTTTACCTCTCTTGACTAAATTGTTTTTGAACACCTGTAGCTGATTGCCCTACCCATAACGTTTAAATTCTGTATAAAAAAAATGTAGGTACCTGAATGTCCTGAAATAAATTTGCTGTTTCTATTTATTTATTCATTGACGGGAAAACCCCATTAATAGTTACAATTAACAGAGAATAGATTGCTAAGCACTATAACTTAACTCAGCTTATAAAACTTCTTAGAATCAGGGTTGGCAAATACCTAACATGATATTTATATAAATATCCAATTATCCGATGTAGGTATATCGATATACCTAAAGTTCGCCTTACGAGTCTAGCACTATGGAAAGAATGCGGATAAAAAAATGGCAATATTGCCTATTTGACTTCCAATAGAGAATAACTTAGTATTTATCTACAGGGTGTCCCACGGTGGATGGCGTATTAGACGTTTATGGAGAACCAAAAAGCGGATCATTTTGAAAATTTGGCAACTGGAATAAATGACCGTGATCTACACTTTAAAAATATTTTTGTTCATGCGGTGTTGCCGGTTCTACTCTAAACCAGTGGCAACATCGCTATTTTAAATGAAACACCCCGTATTTAGTTGCATATTTGGCTTCTACATAAAATTCTGAGCAGATTTCATGTGATATACCCTATACCCAAGTTCAACTGTTTTGGAAATATTGACAGTTGAAAATTTACTTTTTGCAACTTTGACAGGCTGTAGAACCTGAACGGTTAATTTTAGAGGAAAACCGATTTTACGTTCCTATCTTAGATTTTTATAAACTATCATTTGACACCATCTTTGAATTAAATCCATGATTAAAAATTTCAGTTAAATTTAATCTCCGGTTAAGTTCAAAGTTGGTGTCAAATGATAGTTTATCAAAATCTAAGATGGGAATGTGAAATCGGTTTTCCTCTAAAATTAACCAATTAGGTTTTAGAGCCTGTCAAAGTTGCAAAAAGTCAATTTTCAACTGTCAATATTTCCAAAACAGTTGAACTTAGGTATAGGGTATATCACATAAAATCTGCTCAGAATTTTACGTAGAATCCAAATATGCAATCACATACAGGGTGTTTCATTTAAAATAGCGATGTTGCCACTGGTTTAGAGTAGAAGCGGCATCACCGCATAAACAAAAATATTTTTAAAGTGTAGATTATGGTCGTTTATCCCGGTTGCCAAATTTTCAAAATGATCCGCTTTTTAGTTCTCTATAAACGTCTAATACGCCATCCACCGTGGGACACCCTGTATGTTACACACCTACATTTATAAGGGAAAAGAAATATTTAAAAACGCTGCGCGCACGCCTATGATAGGCAGCATAAAGCTCGAAATGAATGGCATTATTCCCCCTTGCCCTTCAGACGTCGTAGTGCTAGACTCGTAAGGCGAACTATACAGGGTGTCCCACAATCAGCGTTACAGGCCATAACTTTCTTATTTTTAGAAATAAAAATTTGAAAAAAAAAGACTAATGGTTAGTTAAGCTCTCTTCAAAAATATAAAAAAATCTTCCCCTGACAAAATCATCCCCTATTTACAACCCTTCACTTTTTTTTTTCAAATGGCACCCCTATTTTTTATTTTTATTTTTGAGAAGTCCATGAAATTGCAAATTCAATGATGTATGAAAAGTTTGTTTTTCCATGTTTCGTTGGAAAAAAAAATCCGAGGGGTGAATAGCTGACCCAAAATTTGTACACTGACTGCCAAATTTCACAATCTTTAAGGAAATTTTCTAAGATTGTTTGTGATTGTGTAAGATTGTGAGTAATTGTGTACGATTGTGACTGATGTGTAAGGATTGTGAATGATTGTGTAAGGATTGTGAATGATTGTGTAAGGATTGTGAATGATTGTGATCACTATGTATAATAATTGGGTTAGAATAAAACAACAAAATATCAAAACTAAATTTTTCTCTGTAATTTTGAAAGGTTTTTTAGAAAATGTTGCATTTTGGGACGCCCCTTGTATCTTTCTGAAGTGTTACAAAAGGTGACAACAGGTTCTTATAGATCTTTCTACGGAGATTCCAATGGAGAAGTCAATTTTTCTTTAGAAGTGATAGTTTTTAAATAACAATGTGTTTGAAAAGGTCTTTATATCTGTAAGGAAAATGAGAAAGGTCTCTTTCTAACACATTGTTTCTGTTTCTTATGACAAAAACAAAACAATTTTGCTCGGAATCTGTTAGAGATAAACCTATCGAACTTTATATCATTGAAATCAACAAAAGCAGAGCTATCCAATGAGTTAATAATATACAGGGTGTCTTATTTGAAAAAACGTATGTTTGGTTCATAATTTAAAAACTGTCACTTCTAGAGAAAAACTAGACTACCCCACTGGAATCTACGTAAAAAGATCTATAAGAATCCGTTGTCACCTGATCACTTGTGAGAGAACTGACATACAAAGGGCTGTCCCAAAACGCAACATTTTCAAAAACACCATGTATCTTGAAAACAAAAAGGGCGATGACAATAGGGTACTTGCATGAAAAATTAAATTGATTATTGTTTATTGCAAACTGTACGAAATCGAAAAAAAATCGATGCGTGTTTTTTTATTTTGGCCAAATATGGTTATTTCGGAAGTTATACAATTATTGAGTTTTGTATATATAGATATACTGAGCATGTGCGACGTCGCAACTCACAACGTATTATACATAAGTTATGACGTCGGAAGGACATTTCAAAGTGTTGTATCTCCGTCAATATTTGACTAACAAGAAAAAGAAAAAACACGTGTTGACTTATTTTTCATGGACTATTGGAGTCAGCAATAAAAAAAATTGATGCAAGGAGCCTATTCTGTCGGTGGCATCTTTTGGCTGGCAAAAAAGTGACCACCATTCGGGAAAACCGCATCCTCCTAACTCTAATAGCAACCGAGTTACCTATCCCTTATGTACAACCAAAATGGAACACCCTTTACAGGGTGGCCCAGAGGAGGATGACAAATAAAAAAGAATTTGGTGTGAGGTAGATACTTGGTTTCAAATTAGGATTTCAGGTACTTGAAAATGTTGATTTTTTGTGAGTTGATAGTGTAAATCAGTGGTTCCCAAACTTTTTTAACCTACCGCCCACTTTTAGAAAATGGGAATTATCCAGCGCCGCCCTTGGTAGGGATCCAAGATATTGAAGCGGCACCTTTTTTTTGAAAATTTTCATGGTCGTGCGTTTTCTTGGCAAGGGGCTGAGCGTCAAGTTACCTCCTCAGTAGGATTTTGTCAGGAAATGACCGAATATGGAAATTTTAAGAAACCTGATACAGCACACTTCAGATTGCATAAGAGTTTATTTTTGTTTCATCTTATTTCCAAAATTTTGGGGGCTGCGCGTTACGTTAGCTCCCCCAATAGGATTTTGCCTGAAAGCTACTGAATATGAAAATTTCGAGAAAAACTTAATACAGTACAGTCCAGCACGCTTCCGATTGCATAAGAATTCATTTTTGTTGATTGGATTTCCAAAATTTTGGGGGGGCTGAGCGTCCTGAAGTTAGCCCCCTCATCTTATTTTCCCTATAACTTTGGTATCAGAACAGCACAGTTCAAAGTGGTAGAAATTTTGTTGGAAAATTTGAATGTGGGGGGCTAACTTCACGGAGCTAATGTTTGAGCTTTTTGAAGTTATTTATAAGTAAAATACAATAACTTTAATGCAGCTGCTGCTGATCAATGCGTGTATTAGCGGTATCGCATTTTAAGCAAGTCATAGCAGACTTAGTTGAGGTAGGTGCGGGTTGCGTTCATAACTTGAAGCTTGCCAAAATTGACTCTGAAAGAGATAGACATAGACTGACTATGAGCCTCATCTTTATAGTATTGAAGAGTAATTTCCGTAAAAAGCCATTTACTATTTAATTTTAATTTTTTTTTCTGATCTGTTCGTTTATTTTCCACCGCCCACTAGTTTGTGCTTACCGCCCCCCAAAATCAGCTGAGCTCTTTACCGCCCCCCGAGATGGTTGTAGCGCCCACTGGGGGGCGTTATCGCCCTCTTTGGGAACCACTGGTGTAAATGGATAGTTTTTAAAATGGATTTTACCAAATACAGATATTTTTTTTCTACAACGTCCAGGTCTGGATTTTCAGGCCATCTCAAGACTTCTAAAATAGTTATATGTCATTCTACTTTTGTCAATTTTCCAATTTGGTATTTGTTAGAGAAGGCAACTGCATAATACTTTTCTACTTCAAGCTCTTTTTCAAGCTGCTGTTCTGGATCATTGAAATATTTCTCTCCACTTTCTAATTCATAAAGGCTAATTAATGAATCGGTTGATTCTGATCGAGATTCTGATGTTTCATCATCAACCATCAATTAGTTTACATTTTGTACTTTTTGTATATTAGCTTTTTGCAGTTTTACTATTTTTGAAGTTTCTTTCTTTTCTTAGTTTTTACTATTTTTCTCTCTATTTTTTTTCTCAATTTTTTATTACTTCTTTCATTTTTTCAATTTGTTTTGTTGTCTCTTTTTTTGGCATTTTTCCCCCTCACCCTTAGTAACCTATCTGATGATAATTTCCTATATTTTTCTGAAAATAGCCAATATTAAGAAGTTTTTCTTACTGTTAGTAGTTTTTTATTTGTCGATATTACTTGGATTTAGTGTGAATTCTTTTTGGTTTTTAAGTTAAACTTTTTTGCTTTTTATTGATAATTCTTTAATTCAAGATTTTCAACTGAAGAAAGT